GAGAGTACAGAACAGATCCAAGAACATGAGCTTCTCTTAGCCTTGCGACGATTACTAAAGTCATCAAAAATTTTAATCAAGCGTCTTACAGAAGGAGCTTGTGCAATTACCAAGCTGCAGAAGCCGTGACCGCAGCGAGCCCCGCTCAGAGCCCGCCTCCTCTCGGCCTTGAGGCCGCATGTTTTCCCCCTGAGAGGAGCAGGTGGTCTCTCAGATCCCTGCCAGGAGAACCGTGGCTTGCAAACCGGGCCAGATTAAAATAAACCAGAGTAGCTGTGTGGGAATTTACATTTTAAAACATTTTCACAGCAAACCTTCCCACATTTAAATCATTTTTGAAGAGTTTCCACATTTTCATCGATTTCACAAAAGTGGATTGCGTCACCTGGGGAATGATACGCACTTGGGGAACGAGAGGTTTTGCAAGACCTGGGCTGCCTCCCACACGCTTGTTATTTGTCAATTTGTGGGAAGGAAAAGAGGTAAAATGGGTCAGATTTGCACGACTTGAGGTCAGGGGCGGACTGCATGCAAGGAGCCCCTCTGAAACCCACTGTGGGCAAGGCCGGCCTCATCCTTCTTCCTGGACCAAGTCAAGACAAGACGGTTCAATCCTGCCCCAAACAGCAAGATTATTAAAAGATACCAGCTAGTGGGTTCTCTGGTTATTTGATGAGTGTGTTTCTCAACCGCGTTCTCCACCACGCAGGTTGGAGGGTGTGTGGGGAGGACACCTGTCTGATTCTGCCGTGTCCTCGCTGCGTGACTCTGGGCAGGTGGGGAGCCTCAGCTCCCGTGTCTGACGTGAGGGGTTCCGGGACGGCTCCGGAGCCCAGCGGCCACACCGAGGCTGCGGTGGTCACTGCTCCCCTCTCCCTGCCCTCCCCTTCCTTCTGCTGTTTCTCAAACGTCCTCCACAAACCCCACCAGTACCCCGGGTGCACGACGCGCACCCTCCCTGGGCTTTCCTGCCAGCGAAGAAGGTCCTTGCAGCTGACACCTGGCACGTGTGCTGGGTCCCTTTTGATAAAATGGGCTCACTGAACCAAAACGGATACAGTTAGACACTCAAGGAAAAGAATCTGTTTTTAAAAAATGAATTTGGCCCCCAAAGGGAAGTTTAAAAAAATCAGTCTAAATTACTTTGGTTAGAGGTCTCACAGCTACTCACAAGGTGATGGTTGCCGACCCTGGTCGGCCCCTGGGTGGACAGCGCGGGTCCCCCGCCTAGCCCATGTGCACTTCCCTGTTAATTTCAAAGGCAAGGATGAGCCCAAACTTGTATCTCTGATCTGCCGCTGATTGTATTCCCTGCTGTGAAGTCACGAGGCCGTTGGATATGCGTTTCATTATTTTTAGTTGCATGTAAATAAACATAGTTCACACTGTGCCCCACTCTCTCCCAAGCAGTATGTAAAAATAGCAAAAAAAAAAAAGGAAAAAAAACCCACAAAAACAAAAACAAAAACCAGCCATGGAAACAATCAAGAAGGAGAGGGGATGAGAAAAGGAAGAGGAAGCAGAGGCAAAAAAAAAAAGAAACTGAGTTTTGATTCAGATTTTTGCATTTTTCTAAAAATAACATCAAAGCCCTCAAAATACTTGAGGTCCTCTTTGCAGGAAACTGCAGTGACTTGTGAATTTTCCCAGGTAGACAG